GCAAGATCGAGATCGGCGTCCTAGCGAAGCAGTTCAGACGAGGCAATCATGGTTGGAGCTAACAAAGTAGACTTCGGCTTCAAAGAGGGAGGAGGCGGGAGAAACTTAGTGGTCTTCGTATGTAGCAGTCTGGTCATCGCAGCATAAGGAGGTGGGCCTGATTCGACCTTATGGCTCAGAAGTGAGGAAAGCATCGGAGCATGTCTTCATTTTCGGAGTTACAATCGACGACAGGGAGGCAGAGGATCGAAGGCTTCGTCTGCTTCGGATCTCCTTCGCTAGCCATCGTTGCTTCTGCGGCATATTCGACTGCTTCTTCCGCTTCGGCTTTGTCCGCTTCAACTTTGGCTTCTTCTTCGTACTCAAGGATTGAAGGCTTCGACACTCCTTCCTGGACCGATGGCTTTGGCTTCGGCAAATCCTAGATCTCGGCTTCGGCATCTTAGCTTCAGCACTTTTGGCGTGAAGATCATGGAACAAATCGTACTCATCGTTGCAGGAAGAATCAATAGTATTTGGATCGAATAACAGAACGCGAATCCCTTTTGTAGGCTATGATCGGTAATATTAGGACCGTATTATAGGACGCAGATCCTAGTTGTAGGCTATGATTGGTAGCATTAGGATAGTGTAACTGGATCCTATTTGTGGGCTATGATCGATAGCATTTGGATCGTGTAACTGGATACTTCTTGTGAGCTATGGTCGGTAGCATTTAAATCGTGTAACTGGACGCGAATCATTTTTGAGGCTATGATTCAAATTTCTAGACAACAATGATAAGGATTTATAGTTTTTATTTGCTCAAATCATATTAGGTTCAGGAGTTGTCACTGAGGCTTCGACACACTCAGCTCCGACACCATCGACTTCGATACTCACGGCTTGAAGATTGTTGGTTCAACAAAGTTTCTTGTTGTCAAATGGATACTTTTTGATCAGTCAGCATCAATTTGAGGGGCTGTCAATCAGGAATGACGGAAATCAGACAGCTAAATTAGGAGTTTTAGAAAGTTCCTTATTTAAATTATTTTCAATGTCTTTATTATGATTTATTTCCATGTTAGCTGAATATTTAAATTATGAATATATATTATTAAGTTATTCAAAATAGATTATGAGCTTTATTTTGTACCTAAAATCCTAAAATAAATTGTATAGACTATGATTTATAGCAATGCAAGCTAAGGAAAAAGACATTTAGCCTGTTTTTCTTAAAACATTGATAAAATAGGAGTTCTCTATAATTAGGAGCTTCCTTATTTAAATTATTTTTAATGTCTTTGTTTTGATTTATTATCATGTAAGCTGAATATTTATATTAGAAATACGTATTATTAAGTTACCTAAAATAGACTATGTACTTTATTATGTACCTAAAATAGATTGTACTGACTATTATTTATAGCAATGAAAACAATGAAAAAATGCATTTAGTCTATTTTTCTCAAAACTTTGACATGGTATCGGAGTCAAATTTTTGTCATAACCACCGATACTCGTTGGAGAACCGTCAAGCCTCTTCCCGGCTCTCTTCCCGCCGGTCTTCTTGGGGGATGGGAAGGGAGGAACTATTTTTTTGTCTTGATTCTCGCTCGTCTGCTCGTCGTCTCATTATTTCTTTGCTTGCATCGACTTCGTTCTACTTCAACTTCCACTTCGGCTCGGTCAGTCTCGACAGTCTCTCCTTCATTCGAACTTCACCCACAGTGGCTCCCGCCTTTGACATGGTATCAGAGACCTAGCCTATCGCCACCACCTCCCACACTACCTCCTGCTCGATCCGTGGATCTTCTTCGGTGTCGTCCTCGAAATCACGAAGCAGTCCCGATTATGGCTCGAGATTACGAAGCAGGAAGTGCGTCATCCTAGAAGCTTCGTGATTAGGGCCTGAGATCGCGAAGCAGCAGCGACACGATGAGCAAGATCGAGATCGGCGTCCTAGCGAAGCAGTTCGGACAAGGCAATCGTGGTTGGAGCTAACAAAGTAGACTTCAGCTTCAAAGAGGGAGGCAGGAGAAACTTAGTGGTCTTCGTATGTAGCAGTCTGGTCATCGCAGCACAAGGAGGTGGGCCCGGATCGACCTTATGGCTCAGAAGTGAGGAAAGAAGCGGAGCATGTCTTCATTTTCGGAGTAACAATCGACGACAGGGAGGCAGAGGATCGAAAGCTTCGTCTGTTTCGGATCTCCTTCGCTAGCCATCGCTGCTTCGGATCTCCTTCGCTAACCATTGCTACTTCTGCGGCATCTTCGACAACTTCTTCCGCTTCGGCTTTGTCCGCTTCAACTTTGGCTTCTTCTTCGTACTCAAGGATTGAAGGCTTCGACACTCCTTCCAAGACCGATGGCTTTGGCTTCGGCATATCCTAGATCTCGGCTTCGGCATATCCTAGATCTCGGCTTCGGCATCTTGGCTTTAGCACTTTTGGCGTGAAGATCATGGAACAAATCGTACTCATCGTTGCAGGAAGAATCAATAGTATTTGGATCGTATAACAGAACGTGAATCCCTTTTGTAGGCTATGATCGGTAGCATTAGGACCGTATTATAGGGCGCAGATCCTACTTGTAGGCTATGATTGGTAGCATTAGAATAGTGTAACTGGATCCTATTTGTGGGCTATGATCGATAGCATTTGGATCGTGTAACTGGATACTTCTTGTTAGCTATGGTCGGTAGCATTTAAATCGTGTAACTGGACGCGAATCATTCTTGTGGCTATGATTCAAATTTCTAGACAACAACGATAGAGGATTTATAGCTTTTATTTGCTCAAATCATATTAGGTTCAGGAGTTGTCACTGAGGCTTCGGCACACTCAGCTCCGACACCATCGATTTCGATACTCACGGCTTGAAGATTGTTGGTTCAGCAAAGTTTCTTGTTGCCAAATGAATAATTTTTTATCAGTCAGCATCAATTTGAGGGGGTGTCAATCAGGAATGACGAAAATCAGACAGCTAAATTAGGAGTTTTATATAATTAGGTGCTTCATTATTTAAATTATTTTCAATATCTTTATTTTGATTTATTTTCCTTTTAGTTGAATATTTAGATTAAGAATATGTATTATTAAGTTACATAAAATAGATTATGCACTTTATTATGTACCTAAAATAGATTTATAGCAATGAAAGCTAAGGAAAAAGACATTTAGCCTGTCTTTCTTAAAACATTGATAATTTTTTTAGCATGCATGCATGCATAAATACATACATACATACAAACATATTTAAAAGAAAATCGGTATTTGGCAGAGGCCCAAATATCGATTTCTCATGCGCTAGGCACCATGATAAGAGCCTGCGCCATGTGCCTAAATATTCGAGAACCAAGCACCACTGGGGATCGAACCCGTGATCTAAGGGGGCCTACAGTAAACCCCGCCAACCAACAGGCCACGATTTGCAGCATATATATATTTTTATAGATTAGATACTAAAGAGCTTGAAATTTATGTAAAAACTAACCCAATGAAAAGAAAAGAGAAGTAAAGTTTAATTCAAGTAAAATGTACTAAAGATGAAAATAAAAAAATACCATTCTTAAATGAGAATATTCAACATGAGTGTGATATTGTTATAAACTTTTCAATTAAGATTTTAAAAATATGATTGATTTTAGTGATTTTAATATCATAAAAATAACTATTTTTATTTCCACGGTCATATTAGTAAAGTAAAAATTGAGGATTTTAAAAAAATAAAGTGTTAAAAAACAGTAGGACATGATATTCTAATAGAAATGTGAATGTTTAGTATATCTAAAAATTGCTTCACTTACTAAACTTTTAAATATTATTTAAAAAAGATGTCTGCTAAGGAAAGAAGGAGTCTATGTTTCTATTTTTAAGAATAAAAGGGATGCACAAGTGTGTGCAGATGATAGAGAAACTAAAATGTGACATGCATTAAAGTTACAAGAGATGGTAACTGAACATAGGTTACAACGTGACATAAATATTTCTCAATATCAGTTTGGATTCATGTTAAGCAAGTTTACCATGGAAGCTTATATATTTATTGAAAGATTTGATGAAAAGATGTAAAGAGAATAAGGAGAATCTACATATGATTTTATTGATAGAAAAATATTATGATAAAATTCCAAAAGAGATGCTTTTGAGAGTTTTATAAAAGAAATGTGTTGATATTGTTTATATTCAAGTCATTAAAGATGTGTTTACTATAATCATTACCTGTGTTCCAACACCAGAAGGATTGACCAAATATCTTCCTATTTCAGTTGGATTACATCAGGGATCAGGTTTAAGCTCAGATCTTTTTTCTTTAGTTATGGATGTTCTTATTAAACATTTACAGTAGGACGTACCTTAGCGTATGTTTTGATGATGATATCCTTTTTGTGTACAAGTATATAGAAAATTTAGGAAAAGCTTGAATTATGGAGCTCAAATTTAGAGTCTAAAGACTTTCATTTGAGTAAATCTAAAACTTAATACATGGAATGTTATTTTAGTAATAGTAATCTAGTGGCGGGGTTGTAATAATGGGAGATCAAGTCATTAAGTTGATAGAATGTTTTAGATATCTCGGATCTATTGTTCAAAGTGATGGTGATATAGATGGGGAGGTTATTAGTACAATTCAAGTTGGATGGTTGATGTGGAGGAATGCATCAGACCTATTGTGTGATAAAAGAGTACCACTTAAACTTAGAGAAAAATTTTATGAGATGATGTTGAGACCTGCAATGCTTTATGGCACAGAATGTTGGTTTGTAAAAGAGAATCATAAAGTTAAGTATTAATGAGATGCGAACGCTCAAGTGGATGAATGATTTCACACTAAGAGACAAAATACGAAACAAATATATCCGTACAAGAATTGGAGTACCTTCGATGGCAGACAAGATTAGAGAAAGTCGCCTTAGATAATTTGGTCACATTAAATGTCGACCATATGATGACCCTGTTAAGAGAGTAGATGTTTTAGATTTGACTTATGTTAACAAAGGTGGAGGTAGATCTAAATAAATGTAGGCATGTTGTATAAAAAATGATCTAAATTTATAAAAATTAAATGAAAATATGACGCTTAATAGGACACAATAAGGAGAAAAGCATTCATATATTCGATCCCACTTTGCGGGTTAAAGGCTTGTTGTTGTTGTATTTTATTGGTGCACTTGCTATTATTCAAATCACTAAATTCTACATTCCACTTTTAACAAATACCATTCATCATTACGCCTAATAAAATTAACTCTAAATTTACCATTCCAAATTATACAACAACAACAAAGCCTTAATCCCACTACGTGGGGTCGGCTACATGAATCCTTTTTCTCCATTGCGTCCTATTTAGTGTCATATTTTCATTTAGTTCTAGTAAATTAAGATCATTTTTAATACAATAAGCCCAAGTCTTCCTAGGTCTACCTCTGCCTTTCTTAACAAGTCGATTTAAAACATCTACTCTCCTAATCGGATCATCAGATGGTCGACGTTTAATGTGACCAAACCATCTAAGACGACTTTCTCTAATTTTGTCTGTCACAGGAGCTACACCAACCCTATCACGAATATATTCATTCCGCATTTTGTCTCTAAGTGTAAAGCCACTCATCCACCTAATCATTCTCTTTAAGTAGAACTAAAACTGAATACATGGAATGTAATTTTAGTAGTAATAGCTCTAGTGCCAGAAGTGTGACTTTGGGTGATCAAATTATTAAAAGGTGTGAACGATTTAGATATCTTGGGTCCGTTGTCCAAAGCGATGGTGATATAGATGGGGATGTTAATAGTAGAATTCAAGTTGGTTGGTTGAAGTGGAGGAATGCTTCGGGCCTTTTGTGTGATAGAAAAGTACCGCTAAGACTGAAAGGAAAATTTTATAAGATGGTGGTGAGACCTGCAATGCTCTATGGCGCTGAATGTTGGCCTTTAAAAGAGAAGCATAATAATAAGTTAAGTGTTGTCGAGATGAGAATGATTAGGTGGATGAGGGGCTTTACACTTAGAGACCCCACGTAGTGGGATTAAGGCATTTACACTTAGTACCATTCCAAATTATAATTTATAAAATTTACCTTTAATTATCCCTGGTATTTACTAATTGTACAGTACTATTAAGGCATTTGTCCATTTTAATTACCTAGCCTCAAATCTAAAAATATTATCCTAGGGAGTGTTTGGTTGCAGATAAGATTTAAGTTAAATAGGATTTAGTAAATCTGGTAAATCCAGATTTATCAAATCTAAATATTATTAAATCCAAAATAATGTGGTTCAGTTAAGGTTAAATCTACTTAAATCCATTTGATGTGTTTGGCGTAAATTTATTTAAAATATTTTTTTTCCTGCGCTAAATCTATTAAATCAAACTAATAAGTGGATTTAATAAATGAAACAAGTAAAAATTGGATTTAACTTAAAGATGGATTTATCTAAACTATTTATGGTGTTTGGCTGGATTTATGTTAAATCTAACTTAAATCCTGTTAAAAGTATGGTACCAAGAAACCCACCCCCCCCCCCCCCCCCCCCCCCCATTAGATCTTAATTTTTCTATGTAATATATTGAGATGCCTACACATGACATCACTAAGTATCATTTAATCATATAGTAATATCGGCTAGAAATTAGTTATATTAACCTTCTCGAATACTTTCACATTATTTTGACATTCAATTTATTCCACAAAAAAATTGACCAATTTATATCATCTCATATATATAAAAAGTAAAGACATCTCATTTTGAATGACTTTGTATAACATCTCAATACAACATGACTGAAGCCGCATAAACCTCTTCCAAAATATAGGCCACATCTATTTATTCCTATGAATATATTTTCATATGGCTTTCAATCAATGAAAAATTTGTTGTTTAACCTCTCCAACGAATTTTGACAATCAAGTTGTTGATATCAATTATTATTTCCTACTACTAATTGGCTCTGATGGCATATCTTATAACCCAATTCCAATAATCTTTCTATGACCAAACCGTCCAATTTACTTTACCTCATCTAGCCATTTTTGTTGCACAGTTTGTGCAATATGATGGTGTTCCACTCATTATATCGATCTTTGGAGAGATTTCCAACTATACTATTAGTCTCTATTGACTTGAGCGATCAATTCTTCTACATTTTCTGTTTTAGTTAACAAAGTGAATAGGCTAGTCTATTTAGTTTCGTAAATATAAATACGGGTCTTATGCATATACAAAAGTTCTTACCTTATAAATAGGAGTTTTATGCATATACAAAAGTTCTTATCTTAAAAATGTATAAGGTGTGAGTATCATGCTTTCTATTTATGAGAGTCAAAACAGTGATCAAGAAGGAAGCTCAAATATTTTTGGAAAATGTTAAATCCATAGATAACCTGTAGCTAGATTATATCACTTTGGTAGCTTTTTTTCTTTAATTTTTTATTCATTACTATATATTTTGTAACTGAATCGAATGTTGGATTTTATTCAAGTCCGCTATAGTCAAGTAAAAAGCTTTTAATTCATTGAATGAATAAATTTTTATGGATTATTTCTAATATAAGGCTATTGAACTGATTTTTTTTTTTTGGTTTTCAACAAAATGTAATAAAAAGTTACTAAAATTAAGAGTTTTTAAGCTAGGAAGTTATGCATGCATGTCACATTATCTTCAATATCTCATACTAGATCTCATGAGAATACCCTCGACCCTAAGAAGTGCTAGATCAAATTTAATATTAAAGGATAAGATTACATCACAAGGTATTTTGCATGTAAGACATAATAACCCGTTCCACTAATAAAATAATATAATTTACACAAAAAAAAAATAATTTCAAAATGGCCATAATGATGTCCAGAGTAATACTCCTACATTCAATGTGATGTTAGTAACCTTAGATTGGATAGCTATATCAAATGAATTTTTAAAAAGGTGTGATATTTCTGATTCATATAAAAATGAATTTAAAAAGGCTAAGATAAAACTAAATGATGTACAAGTTTATTTTGGTGAAATGTTGCTCATAAAACAAAATTTGCATGGATTGATATATAGTTTACCAAATTTACAGATCTTAAAGCCAAATATTATTTTCCTTTATACCATTTCACAAAAGACTGCAGGCAAAAAATTAAGCACAATTTAAGCCAATATCCACCGAAGACTTTATAGGACTTTGGAGTATTAAATAATTTCAGGATTATGTCCCTTTTAGATCTACTAAAACTATCGTTAATATTTCTAAGAAAAAATTACTAAATTTTGATATAGAGCCCATCAAATACACACACCCAAACAGGTATCTTGTATGATCAACTCTAATCATATTAAAAAAAAACTGCATGTCATCAATTTTGTTTAATTAATAAACTTAATGTAAGAAATGATGTACAATAGCAATAGTACTTCTAATGTTCTTATACTGAAACTGTGTGAGCATCTTCACTAAAAAATGTTTATGAACTTAAAACTAAAATAGAGCAAGAGTTATAATATGAATCAAATATTAAATTTGAAAATAAAATCATTTTAAATAAAAATCTCAATAAAACTTTAAATACATTCCCGGGTTGTGAAATTGAACATACGATGTTGAGATTTTTATTTAAAATTTTAACTGCACAATTTTATATTATAACTTCTACAAAACAAATGGTGACAACTGCATGAGCCCTTGGTATCCCATGACCTTTTCTAGCTACAACTTTTGGTCATATCCTTATTCATGTTTAAATTCAGACTTTAATGACCTTGGTGATCGATTCATTTATGATTATTATTTTTGTTTTTATTGTCACAATAGATAAGGAAGTTTACTAGGCTTTGTAATTAGAAATAGATATCCTACAAATTTTTTGGTTTTCAATAAAGTTTTATTCAAATTTTTTATAGATTTTATTTGCAAGAGTAAACACTTTAATAAGATGAGAGACATGAAGTTTTCTAAAAGAGGCTCTCATTTTACAAGAATAAGGCTTAATTCTACTGCTTTTTTACTTCTTTCCTACTATTATTCTTTTTGTTTCTCAAAATTTTACTATTGCATTGACCTTTGAGCGATTTATTGAGTTTAGTAAAGCTTGGTTTTCAATGATTAACAACTTACAGCTCATTGGAAGATTTCTAGGTTCTAAGTTTCTCTGTTATTACTAGAATGTAGTGAATTAACATTTTAACAGATTTCCTATGCTTATTTATTTTCATTGAAAGTATTAAATAGTTTAATAAATTAAGAGTTGGCGTCCTGTGAATTTAACATTGCATAAATGCATACTTTATTGAATCTTGTATTAGATCTATATCGAAAAACCATGTCTCTATGATATCCTGCATCACATATCTTAACTCAAGACATAGAAGACAAACATGTAAAGGTTCAAAACAAGGAAAAGTGATTGTTTCAAGCCGTAATCATTGCCTAAGCAGATGGCCTCTTTTCCTATGAATAGTCATTGAAAAATCAAATACATTGATAATTACCGTCACATCAATATTTGGGGAATAACTGAGTTGTGTATCCTATAAGTGTTTTGGATTTACTGGATAAGCTACTTAATTCAAGGAGGACAATCAGCATCAAGCACCATTCTAACTTTAAGGAGCGTGCTAGCTACATAAATGACTGATATACCCTCAATTTATAGTGACTCGCATGCAATATTATATCACATTCAATAGTCTTTCAAGTTTGATCTAATGGTTGTAATGAATCCCAAAGCAGTAAACTAGACATGATCAACTAAAATTGAATTAGGATCAAGTAATAATAAGCTGATCTGAAAGCATATTGCTTAGCTACTTAGGGCACATGCAATTCACCTTTAATAAACCCTGATGTTGCAAGTAAAAATGGATGAACGAAAGTTGTAGCTAGAAAAGCAATACTCTGATTGACTGGCATTTAAGTAGTAAAATGTGGGCAATGGTCACCACTGTAAGAGGGCAAAAGCATGGCACAATGGCCATCAAGCTCAAAGAATACATAAATCAATGCTGATATTAACAAGTCCCCTAAGGTCATACTAAAATATTGTGGATGCTATGATAAGTGGATGAGTAAGAAGTGAATAGAACTTTCAAAGCTGTCCATATTTACAGCCGTTGTTTAGCTTCCCTCTAATTTATTCTGGGATGATATGGAACTATTCATTCATTTATAACCAATTTTTATATATCGTTGCTAACCAACTATACATTTAATTGTTCTAAAGTAACCCCAGTAACACCAACAAATTTATCTTCTAACAATCTACTAATAATGACTTGCACCCTATTGATATTACTATCCTTTTCAACACTGAAGCGCACAACCTTGACTAGAGTTTTTCGATGTTTTCACCTTCACATATAATTTCTCATAAACATACATGTCTTCTTCTTTACATCATTAGTTTGAGACTAAGGCAAAGCTTGCCCATTTTTTAATTATAATTAGGCTAAGATATCAAGTTCTACTTGTGGGAGGCATCCTGATGAATATCACGGATCAGAGTTCAATGATAGATACCATGTATGAGTGAATACATTGCCAAATATTGACAATTCGGCATTATCAAGTGTGGTCAAGAAGAAATTTTTCGAAAAATTTTTAGTGCAAAAACATCTTACTTTCAATTTTTAGTAAAACATTCCTAGTCAGCCTTGCTCATCAGAACTTAAATTCAATAACAATGATTTGAATAAGAAAGATCCTGCCCAACCGTACAAATGGATAATGATCGTCCATCACAATTGGAAACCATGAAGTGACATTGAAATTCTAGTTAAACTTCTTTAGCCTCTTGCTATAAATATAACATCTCAAAAAGGACCAAGTAAAAGATTCTAGCCACTTTAAGAATCAATTCATTCTATCTTTTATGGAATAAATAACAAAATGAGTTTAGATGAAGAACGGGAAATTACCAAGTAACTTTAAATTTAGTATATTGTGGCAGAGATATACCAAACATGGCTGGGGCAACAAAGGATTATTCTTCCTTTTGCAATGCTATTCAAGGATATGGCATATCACAAGTATGAATTGTGACAAAATACTAAATGAAGTCTAACATAATATATGAAATTCCAAGCAAGCTGCTACTCGAGTTTTTTACACACCTAAGCAAAACTACTCCCTTGAAGCTCTAACAACAATGATTATATAAAATGGCAACAGGAAATCAAACCATAGAGGATCCATAAGATCACAGTAAGTTGATTCCATAACAATTAAAAAAAATTAACTGATGTTCCGAACAAACATAGTATTATAGTTTATTGACGAACATAAAAGTGAAACTACTTGATTACATGCACAATAATCAAAAAAGGCCATGGCAAGAAGACTTGAGCAATAAACAAAAGATGCGCTGTTGAAATCATGACGTTCAATTTAAAGGGAAACATAAATGAGGACATATCATTAAAATTACCAGGGGCACTTACATGCATACCACACAATTCTTATGTGTTTACATATCAAACTCAAAAATATTCATATTTACATGCAGAATTACAAGGGGCACTTACATGCATACCACACAATTCTTGTGTGTTTACATATCAAACAACAAAATATTCATATTTACATGCATAATAATCAAATCTTTAACACACATAAAAAATATAACCAATTGTATCTTTTTAAAAGTAAAATACAGCTTGTCATCCATATGCTTATGATACCAAGGTGTGATAAGGGTATATCAAACTTTGGGTGTTAGACATGAAAATTATGCAGTATGTATGAAAGTTTCTGAAATAATAATTAATATGATAAAAGCTTAAATAAAAAAAATTGACAAACATTTGAAAGTTGGATAGAAAAAACTACCATAAAAGGGGATAGGTCGAGGTCGGCCTAATGAAGCTAAATTGCAGTTAGCTCTTCTTCCATCTATGATTGGGCTGGCATTGGCACATGCTTTGCTTGCAGATTCTGGATGTCGAAATGTTACCTAAATCCTCCAAAAAAATTCATCATCAAAAGGAATAATAAGAAAACCTCTGACAAAGAAATTAAAAACTTGAATGATCCTTATTTTTGAGTGATAAAAAGTGATTTTTCACCTTGTTTAAAAAGGAGTTCGAGGTGCATGCCCCAAGATGCACATTAAAAAATGCCTCAAGGCCACACATTTCAAAAAATGTGTGTACTTTTTTCAATCAGGTTAAATAAAAATGTATCACTTTGTATTATATTAAATTATACTATATAATATTATTAATATATATGATATCATATTATATTATGTGATGCAATGCCTCGAAAAAGTCAAAAAATAATTTAAGTAAGATTCCTTGATCATATTATTAATTTGATATATTATTTTAAATTACATTTGATCTCATATTAATTAATATATGAAGTATGAAAAAAAAATATAGTAATTGCAGAAGATTTGAAAAAAGATAATAAAATAGATTCAAAAGAAATAAAAATATTATATATGACAATTCTTCTAAAAATGATAAAAATGAGAATTATGCTATTGTGGATCTTGATCCTCATAATTTATTTAAGTTTTAATTGATTACCTACCCTAAATCTCATTTCAAACTTTTATTTTAATATCAACATTTAAAATTCAGATTTATAGTTCATACTTTTATGATAATAAACTAAATGAATATATCAATAATATCATATTTATGAATCCCCTTTAATCTTATGCTTTTTTTTTCTATTTTGAGGCTTAAGTCTCAATCTACCTCAAAGCTCGCCTCATCAAGCGACAACTCGCCTCATCAAGCTAAAATGACTCGGTTCCTAATTTTGCCTTTTTAAACCTTAATCTTTGATCTTTCACAAGAGCGCACAAAAGCATCAAAATAAAAGGACGAAGAAAAACTCACAAAACCATAGCCCTTCGACCTTCCGGTATTCTTATCTGAGATCACGACGGCCTCCAGAATCTCGCCAAACTGCTCGAAGTGGCGCTGCAGCGTCTCGCTCTGCGTCTCCCACGCCAAGCCCCCGACAAAAACCTTCGTATATTTCGTGTCGCCATAAGGGGAATTGAAAAAATGGACTCCAGAGCCTGAACTCGATCCCGAAAGCGATCCCGACGCTGTAACATGTACAGGCGGGCGGTTGGCCATAGATGCGCTCCTCACGGAATGAAACCAATCCGAAAAGTTTGATTGTCCAAATTTTATAGATACAATACCAAACTTAAAAAACGACCACAAAAATTGGTAATCAAACTAGAAACCCCAGGAAATCATCAGAGAACAGCGAGTATTTGTTAAACCCTAGCTTTTTGCGTCGTGAGCAGGTTGAATCAAAGAAAGACTGAGATCACGAAAAGAAAAGAAAAAATGATATATATATATTCAATTAAAAAGCGGACAGAGAGAAGAGTGTAAGCGGGTACACATAATTTCCGTAGAGTACAGAGGCCATACGAGGTTCTTTAAATTCCAGACGAAGCGGAGGGTGTCGAAGGGCCAACGACCGCGTACGCATGCACAGTCCATAACCGAGGTGTTGCGTCAACCCGAACAGGGCTATCCATTAAATGCATGTGATTTTAATATTTTTTAAAATATAATATAGCAATATATTTATAATATTTAATTAATGTTCCGTTATTAATAAGAAAAATATATATATTTCTTTTTTTCTTTGTTTTTATTTTTATTTTTTATTTTTTTTTAATTTGGCTATGTATAAAATATTTTCAATGTTCATGAAATTGTGACTTACCAAAATGGAATGCAATAGCAATTTTAGTGGTTATCAATAATGGCCGGCAACGGTGGTGTTGGTCAGCTAGCTTCAGTAGCAACAACTAATTTTCAATGTATATAGCCAAGTCTTTTTAGGTCTACCTCTGTCTTTCTTAATATAACTCAAATTTAAAACATTTACTCTCCTAACCAGAACAATAGATAGTCCACATGTAATGTGAACAAACCATTTAAGACGATTCTGTCTAAGCTTGTTTGCCACCAGAGCTACAATAACCCTTTCATGAATACATTCATTTCACATCATCTTTAAGCGTCAAGCCACTCATCCATTTGAGCATTCTCATCTCAGCAACACTTAAACTTATTTTTATGTTTCTTTATTAAAGGTCAACATTTTGCTTCATTTGTAGGTCTTGCCACCATCTTATAAATTTTCTTTAAGTCTAGGCGATACTTTTCTAAGACACAATAGACTTGATGCATTTCTCCACTTCAACCAACCAACTTGAATTCTACTAATAACATCCTAATTTATATCACCACCATTTTGTACAATAGACCCCTAATATCTAAAATGTTCACACATGTTAATGATTTAATCAACTATAGTTACAAATCTATCACTGGATCTATTATTAAAATTATATTCTATGTATTCAAATTTAGATATACTCAAATGAAGGCCTTTAGACTCCTTTGTAGACCTCTATACTTCAAGATTTTCCTGAACTCTTGTTCTAATATTATCCACAAGCAGGACATCGTCAGCGAAAAACACCAAAGTAAATCCTCCTGTAAATGCCCAAAAAGAGCATCCAAAACTAAATCATAAAGATATGGACTTAAAGTTGATCCCTAACATAATCCAACTAAAATATGAAAATTCTTAGTTAATCCTCTTTTTGCTCGAACACAAGTGATAACTCTAGTATAAATATAAGTCATATAAGCACCTTTCTATTATAGAACTCTCCAAAGAACTTTGCTTGGAACCTTATCATACTTTTTTTCTAAACCAATAAAAGTTTTATGATGTTCATCCTTGCTCTCTCTATATTTCTCCATCAGACCTCTCAATGAATATATAGCTTCCATAGTAGACTTGCACGACATAAATCCAAACTGATTATGAGAGATCATTGTATCACGTTTTAACCTATGTTTATTTACTCTCTCCCATAATTTTAATGTACGACACATTAATGTAATTCCTTTATAATTTGCATATTTTTGTGTATCTCTTTTATTCTTAAAAATGAGGACCAAAATACACTTCTTCCACTCCTCAAATATCACTTTAGTTTTGAAAATAATTTTAAAGAGCTTAGTAAGGCAAGAAACTCTCAAATCTTCTAAATATTTTCACACTTCAATTGAGATATTATTAGGTCCTACTGATTTTTCACCCTTAATTTTCTTTAAAGCCTCCTTAATTTCTTTTAATGCAACTAAAAAAATTAAAAGGTTTTATTATTATTAACGATATTAAGATATTAAGTTTGATCATATTTTCAAAAAAAAATCATTGAAAAGTTTATTAAAATATCTCACGCACCTATGCTGATTATCTTTATCTAAGAAAATCACTTTTTGATTTTCATCTTTAATACACTTTACTCAAATTAAATCTTTACTTTTTTTCTCTTTGTTTGACTAGTTTATGATAGATTTTTTACCCGTATTAGTATCTAATCTATTATAATGATTACTAAAAACATAATTCTTAGTATTACAATTTATTTTTTTGGACTCTTTACTAGTCACCTTATATTTTTTTCAGTTCTTTAAGTGTTTACATTTAAACCAATTTTTATAACAAATTTCTTTTATTTTATCTTTTCATAGTCATTATTGGTTCACCACCAATTATTTTTTATTTTGAAAAGTTTTCTATTTTGATTCTCCAAGTACTTTTTTTGACATTTGTTTAATAGTATTTGTTATTTCATCCAATATAGAATTAACTTCTTCATAACCAACACAAATCTTAAAACCTTAAAGTTTACTCATAAATATAATTGTATGTGTCATGTAGGTGCCCCTATTTAGTTCCGTGATAGTGTTACATTTTATTTCACTTAGAATGACCTTACAATCATTATATTCTCGATGATCTCTTTTTCTCACAAGAAGATAATCAAATGATGTTTTATTAGATCTATTGTTATAAGTAATAATATGGTCAACCTTTTTCTAAAATAAACTATTATCAATAATTGAATCACATGGTATAGCAAAATTTAATATGGTTCTACCTTTTTCATTAATCACTACAAAATCATAGCTACCATGATTATTTCTAAAATCTTATACAGTCTACCAATATTCCATTTAAATCTCCTCTAATAAAAATCCTACATTCATGAGGTATCATTTGTATTAATTCTTCTAGGTCATTCTCATTCATGAGGTATCATTTGTATTAATTCTTCAAGGTCATTCTATATATTTTTTCTCTTGAGCCTATATTTAAACCTGCTTCAGAAGCATGGGCACTTATAACATTAAAAATCTTAGTTTGAATAAGGATGTTTTAAGTCTATACTTCTATCTCTAATTTTATTAATTTTTACAATATCATCTTTCAAACTCTTATCTATAATTACACATACAAAATTTCTAGTATGAGTCCTACCTAAAAACCAATGATTAAAACTTAAGATAAGAATCTCTTTAGCTTTTCCTCCAACCAATTTATTTTCTTGAATGCATAAGATATTTTTCTTCCTATGAATCATAATATCTTAATTGTATTAATTTAACAATTAAAGTGCATATATTTTAATATTATATCCTAATATTAGTTTTATAGACTAGCTTCTTTATAAGTGTTTGTCCATAATGTGGGAACCCTTGCTTATTTGACACTACACCCGAGAGCTTGTGTAATGATTCTTGCACACTATTCATTGTATCAATTTCATACAGCACATTGCTTCTAAGAGACACTCTATCATTTATATAATAATTTAAAGGATTCATGTCATAATTTTTTGACAAAAAATTTACATGAATTGTCGGCCACCTAACACAACCCTCCATTTTTACATCTGAGGCTTGAGGCCTAACAATGTTGGTGCTATATATATCCTAGGGGTTTCTCCTTCTGCATTACAACTCCACATCAAAAAAAGAAAAAAGAAATCATTCCCAAAGTTACAAGTATCCCAACAAAATGTATACCAAACCAAAAAAGTATATGACCAAAGAAAAATATGTTGAGATTTTCATACATATTTTATACTGATTTTGATGATATTGCACTTTAAAGAAGGGTATTTTTGATGTTTTGTTGCAAGTATGATGAATTATGGTCATTGGAGCAAAAAAATGCAAAAAGATAAGTCTTTCAATGTTTAATTTCTTTTACACTTCTTGCATATTTTTGAATGAGATTATACTTTAAAGGAATGTTGTTTTGATGTTTATTTTGTAGGGCTATCTGTTAGGAACACAACGCAACTTAAATGGGGCGAAATGGAGCTAAAACGGAGCCAAACGGAGCGAAACGGCGAAGCTGCGCAGTCTGCCCGTCGAGGGCGCCAAAACAGCGCCGACCGCGCCAAAACAGTGCCGACGGCGAGATTTACCCGAGAAGACCGAAAAACTTCAGAAAAGCTCGCCGACAACGCCCTCGAGACCGCCGACAGCGCCCGAGACAACTATGGACCGACTTTTGGCGGTTATGGGCTGAAATTCAATGTATTTGGATGCTTTTTGGAAGGGTGCTTGTGACAACTTTTCAAACTTTGTCCCTACACTTAAAGAACGAATTTAGGTTAGAAAAATGGGGATTTTTGTGAGAGGAATGTTAGGAAGAGTGTGGAGAAAGTTTAGAGATTTTAGAATAGGAGTAGAAATGCAGATTTCTACCCTTTTGGAGAGATTGGAGAGGAGATTTTGAGAGAATTTGTAAGGAGATGTTCTAGCATTGCATAGATTGGCGGGAGACTTTATGGGGGAGATTTTCTTCTTTCTTTCAA